AGATTATAATTGTTTTACAGCAGAAAAAATTTTCAGATGTAAGCTATTTTTTTCGGATTTTTAATTTCGACACCATTTTTTAAGGCTTATTTGATCTCGAATAGTTTTTGGTATATAAAATATTGACAAGCTACAAATTTTAAGTTGATTAAATCAAAGTGTTAAAATTTGAGTAGTTTATGGAATTATTAACAACAATTAGTTCTCCTCATATCATTATGGAAGATTGTTGAGTGTGGATAATTTGCCACGCATAAATAACTCGTGTAATGAAACAAACTATTCAAGCTTTTTTCCTGCAGCAGAGCTGCACTTGAGTGTGGTGAAGCATATTCGCTGGACATTCACACGGTTTCCCGATCAATGCCCCAATGCAGTCATTTTTTTTTAATGGTCTGAAAAAAATGAACTACCCCGGGCGCATTTGTTCGTCACTTTCGTTGAAAGTTGCAACAATAATTGAAACGAATACAACTGCAGAAGTTAAGTATGGAAAATTTAATGCTTTTAATTCATATTTGCAACAAACTCAAATTAGATATAGTTTATGTGAAACACGTTTAATGTTTAAATTTACTCGGATCATCTAGGAAAACTAATAACTTATACGCAGCTGCAAACGTTTTTTGTTGTAGGAATAATTATTAATGGATAGCTGTAAGCTTATTTAATAAATAAAATTGAAACTTGATAGCGGTGTTTGATTTTATCTTAAATTTTGAAAAGCATCCTTCACAATTCAATTTAAACTCCCTGAAAAAAGCTTTAGAAGTTTCATTGATATTTTCGGCTTGTTTTGTGTTTTTGTATGATATGGTATCAAGGTTTTTTCGCTAATATCAAAAATTGGAACTACTTAACAATTGCCCCCCTTTTACGAAAGAGGGGCAATTGTTACGTATATTAAGTTTTCGAAATATCGACCAATCAGGTTGCAGCTAAAATCAATTTTAATATGCAAAGATCTAGTAGATCCCAATATTTAGACCATTTTTTCGGTATATAATTTTTCCTGTCTTATATTGATTATTTAAGGCAGCGCAAGCGTAGAAAAGTTTTGGGTCCATGCTGAGCAAATTAACAAAGATCGTTTTGAATGCAGTAATTTTTTATATGAAGAAGAAAAAACTATAAAACAGAAAAATTACAAATTATATTTGCCGACTTTTTTTGTTAAATCTTAAGTTTATATTGAGAAATCTTTCGTTAGTACTGATGATTTAAATATGAGACTAGAAAAAAACTGACCAAGATGATGGTGGATTTGGAAGTGGACATGAGAGGCGTGATCATAACCAATCAAGCGAACTGTCCTTATATCTCAAATGATCTGGCAGCTAAAATGTAAACTAGTACTGTGAACAAATAAATGAAGATAGTTAATATTTACACAAGCGAAGCGTAGTGTTGGGTGCGGATCTAGGGTTTTCTCGAGGGGGGGGGACTTTCAAAAATCCCCCCGCCCTTCCCCTAAACCCGCCCCTGCTATTATCCATAACTTTGGACTAGTTTGCCCTAAAATGTTTGATATGAATTTTATGATGAGCTCAATGAAGCTTTTCAAAAACTCCGAGCACTTTCAAAACAATCAAAAGACCTTATTGGGACCAAATAAGGAGGTTTGGAGGCAATTTTTGAAAAATGTGATTAAAAATTTTGCGTTTTTTGGGCAATATTATTGATATGCTGGCGCCAAAAGCGCCTTTAGAAAAAAAGTTGAGCTCATAAGGATGGAACCCTGAGAGGGGACCCTTTAGGCCGATAGGGGCTCGAATTCCTGAGTGAGGGAGGGGTGGGTGTGCCCACTAATGGCTAACAATGAATTAGCGCAATATTTGGATCAAATAGCTCTAGCATCAATTTAATTTGGAATGATTGCTGAACTGAAATATTTATTAGCCTGCGAAGCGATTTGTTAATGGATTTTGAGTTGCCTGCAATTTAGAACAAAATTGTCCAAAAAAAAATGAGCGAGGAAGTTTATATGCAGAGGGAGGTGGTAGATAAACGTTTTTCGCAAAAAAAATTGTTTAAATGAAAAATTTGTCAAGCAAATTTTTTTCGAGTTGGTTTTTGATACTGTTCCTAAAAATGTGATCATTGCAGTGATTGAGACAGTGTTTGCCTCGTATCAAAATATTGGTATAGATTTTGGCAAAAAGGAACCGTACAAGTCTCGTTGTCTATTAAGACAAAATTGTCCAAACAAAATCTCTCCGTCCAGGCAATTGTCTCAAAATTGTCCACCTCAAAGTGCTGTTGATGTTCTTGCCAGATCATGGGGATAATCACTTGGCGGCTAAGTCTCAGCAATGTAAGTTTGAATAAGTAAGTTTGACTGCCCATTAATTGGTCTCGAATAGTTTTCGGTCTACAAAATATTGACAAGCTGTAAGTTTTAAGTTGATCAATTCAAAGTGTTAAAATTTGAGTCGTTTATGGAATCATTACGACCAATTAGTTCGCCTCAATTCATTATGGAAGATTGTTGAGTGTGGATAATTTGCCACGCATAAATAACTCGTGTATTGAAACAAACTGTTCAAGATTTTTTCCTGCAGCAGAGCTGCATTTGAGTATGGTGAAGCATGCTCGCTCGACATTCATACAGTTTCCCGATCAATGCCCATATGCATTCATTTTTTTAAAAGTTCGTCTGAAAAGATCTAGTGCTATTTATTGTTCCGAACTTTGTATCAAAAGTAACGAAAAATTTGTGCTCGGGGTTGATGTTCATGAGAACTATGAGAAAAGTTTGTCACTTTGTACTTTATATGGCGTGTAGAAGGATGATTTTCACAAAAATTCTCAATTTTATTTTTCTTACATTTAATTGTTTCATAAGATTACTGCTCCATAGATCGTAAATTTTTTCCCCTTTACGAGTATTCTAGTCCCTTCTATTTATAGGGTTGGCAATTTTTAGAAGATACCAAAAGAAGGACTTTTCTTAAGTAGATCCCATTATTTAAACCATTTTTTCTGTATAGATTTTTTCCTGTCTTATATTGATTATTTAAGGCAGCGAAAGCGTAAAAAATTTTTGGGTCCATGCTGAGCAAGTTAATGCAGATCGTTTTGAATGCAGTAACTTTTTACATGAAGAAGAACAAACAATAAAACAGAAAAGTTACAAATTATATTTGCCGACTTTTTTTGTTAATTCTTAAGTTTCAATTGAGAAATCTTTCTTTAGCACTGATGATGCAAATATGAGATTAGAGAAAAACTGACCAAGATGATGGTGGATTTGGAAGTGGACATGAGAGGCGTGATCATAACCGATCAAGCGAAATGTCCTTAACTCTCAAAAGATCTGGCAGCTAAAATGTAAACTAGTACTGTGAACAAATACATGAAAATAGTAATTTATTTACATGAGCGAAGTGTAGTGTCGGGCGGATCTAGGATTTTCTCGAGGTGGAGCATTTTGACGACCTTTTTCTTTAGGTTGACCAAAATGATTTTTCGGAGCTCTCCTAAAGCACTAAAAAGACGCTTTTGAGGCAAATTTTTGAAAAAACAGGTCAAAAAGCCGTTTTTGGGCATTTTTTGGAAAACTTCGACAAACAAGAAGATCGCGTTTTTTTTGGCGCGCGCTCCCCTCTCAAAGTTAGTATATTTTGGCGCTGAAGGCGCCTTTAGAAAAAGTTTGGGGTCGGTCGGCCAACAATGGATTTCTCGAAAAGTACCAAAAGGAGGACCCTTTGGGTCGGCAGGGGGTCGAATCTCTGAGTGAGGGGGCGTCCACCTCTGGTATTATCCATAAATTTTGGACTAGTTTGCTCCCCCCTCAAAGTTAGTGGAGCGCGCTCCCCCCTAAAAGTTATTATATTTTTGCGACGAAGGCGCCTTTAGAAAAAGTTTGGGGTCGGTCGGCGAACAATGGATTTCTTGAAAAGTACCCAAAGGAGGACCTTTTGGGTCGGCAGGGGGTCGAATCTCTGAGGAAGGGGGCGTCCGCCCCTGGTATTATCCATAATTTTTGGACTAGTTTGCTTTAAAATGTTTGATATGAATATTATGATGAGGTCAATGAAGCTTTTCAAAAACTCCGAGCGCTTTCAAAACAATCAAAAGACTTTAATTTGACCAAATAAGGAGGTTTTGAGGCATTTTTTGGGCAATATTAATGATATGCTGGCGCCAAAAGCGCCTTTAGAAAAAATTTGAGCTCATAAGGATGGAACCCTAAGAGGGGAACCTTTAGGTCGATAGGGGCTCGAATTCCTGAGCGAGTGAGGGGGTGGGTGTGTCCACTACTGGCTAATGATGAATTAGCGCGATATTTGGATCAAATAGCTCTAGCATCAATTTAATTTGGAATGATTACTGAACTGAAATAATTATTAGCCTCCGAAGCGATGTGTTAATGGAATATGAGTTATCTGCAATATAGAACAAAATTGTCCAAAGAAAATGAGCGAGGAAGTTCATATGCAGAAGGAATTGGTAGATAAAAGTTTTTCGCAAAAAAAAACTTTTTAAAACAGAAAAATTTGACAAACATATTTTTTTCGAGTTGGTTTTTGATGCCTTTTTAAAAATGTGGTCATTGCAGTGGTTGAGACAGTGTTTGCCTCGTATCAAAATATTGGTATAGATTTTGGCAAAAAGGAACCGTACAAGTCTCGTTGTCTGTTAAGACAAAATTGTCCAAAAAAAATCTCTCCGTCCAGACATTTGTCTTAAAAATGTCCACCTCAAACTGCTGTTGATGTTCTCGCCAGATCATGAGGGTAATCACTTGGCGGCCAAGTCTCAGCAATGCAAATTTGCATAAGTTTGGAGAAATAGAATCGGGCAATTTTATCTTGAGCACAAATGTCGGGAAAAATATAATTTTCAGGGCTACTTTGTCTGAGACACAAATGTCTATGCATCATTAGAACAGGTAGGCGCAAGTAGGTTCGAGCCCTGAGTGCAGAGATCGACTGATGGGAAAGGAAAAGGTTCAAGTAATCTAATTAATATTTCTGAAAAAAAATAATTATGACGAATATCTCAAAAATTTCCGAATAAATTTAAATTATAATTATTAATATTTATTTAATTATTGGGCGGAAGAAGTCACCCACAACAAATCAATAAAGCCATTCGATTTTAGTCGCAGTTTGTTTGATCAGTCACCGTTAATCCGGAGTTCATATTGACTCCCATCTTACGCAACCTCCTGCTGATATCGTCCAGGGTATCAAAGGCCAAAAACTTCTTCCGGCTGTAAACCCAGAGATACTCGGAGCCAAAAGAAGGCGAGCAACCGTAGAACACTGCGTATTGATGAGCAACAGAATCGTGATCCACTAGCTTGTAGTGGAATCGCCAGGCGAACAGGTCTGATTTTCTCTTGAACTTCATGACCATGTCTCCGTTTCTGGACCTTGTCTGACTGAGAGTGCCTGTGATTGAGAAGAACTTGTTCCCGTCACTGCCGAGTTTGATAGCGTTCAAGTGAGGAAAACCTGATAACAATAAGATTTTCTCAACACTATAAACAGACTGACTTTTATTTGGTTGGAAGTATGCTCAGTATAGGTACCCTGCTTCTTATCTTTTTTGGGTTGCCTGAAGTTTGGGTTTCTGAGAAGGATTGAAAATTAAAATTTATACACTAAAACTTCCTTCATAGTTATCATTGTGTCTTGAAATAGCAGGGAAACAAATTACCAGCTCCAAATAGTAGTAAACGTTTTTTGTTCCGACCATTGGCAATGCGAAGGAAGGTAATTTCCCAAAAATGGCATAATTCCCAAATGGCATAAAATGGAAACTTTTCACAAATGGCATAAATTTCAAGTTTTCAATGTAAATTAAACGTTTTCTATCAATTTCTATTTCTAACATTTTGTCAGGAACGAAAGCATGTGGACAAGATTTGGAATTCATTGCTTCCAAACAACTTTACGCAACAAATTTGTCGAAAAAGTTGACCAAAGAAGCTTATTAATAACCGCAAGCTTCTGCTTGTTGCTTTCGATAAAGAAATCTTACAACTTTTCAATATAAAATGTCAATCAACATTTAAATGACAATTTGACTTATTTTCTCACATTTTTCACGAAAAAATTGATCTCGATTCTTTCAATGCAACTGTTGCATGAAACTTATGCCATTTGGGAAATTTTTTATTTTAATGCCATACGGGAATTATGCCATTTGAGACGTAATTGGGAGGAAATTTTTATTCGTGTGTGTTTTAATTTTTTGTTCCGACCATTGGAAATGGAGAGGAAATTTGTATTCGGGTATGTTTTAGCTTTTTTTGTTCCGATCATTGAAAATAGAGAGGAACTTTGTATTCGGGCGTGTTTTATTTTTTTTTGTTTTCCATGCAAAATCAGCTGCCACAAATAATCATCGTACTAGGTTGCGTGATACACCATATTAAAGCCCTTTCAGCAGTGAATTGAACCACGTTCGAACCACATAAAACTTCCCAGTTTGGAGAAGAACCGGTTTGAAACTTTTGATTTTTCGTCTTAATTCGAGCAATTGAAGCAATTGAGCAGGCTTACAACAAAAGTTAGCTCAAACTATGACTAATTTAAGACGTTTAAACTTAATTTTAAGCAAGTAAAACTAATTTTTGGAGTTTTTTAGTTTTATTTTGGAAACCAAAAACTCAAAAAATTCTTTTTTGAAAAAATTTTGAAAAAAATATATATATTTCAGTTTTTCTAGTCATTTTTCAACAAACTGTCTAATACGCTTAAATGATAATTTGACGTCAGGTCTTTTTATCTCACCAATCAGAAAAAACTACAGTACTTTGAAGAAAAAAAACAGTTAAACCGTAGTTTTCTAAAGACTATGGTCGGAAAATTCTGTGCTACTTGCACAGTAACCGGCTATCTTTGTTTTCTTTTCTTTTTGTTTTTCAAGCAAAATCATGAACCACAAATAATCATTGGAATGGTTTGAATGATGTATCATTATAAAGCCCTTTCAGTCGTGATTCGAACAATATTACAAAAACTCGTTTTTCTCGACACTGACAAAAGTTTTTTGTCAGTGTCGAGAAAAACCGGCTCAAAATTTTTAATTTTTGGTCTGAATTCGAGCGAATGAAGCAAGCAAGCAGGCTTACAACAAGAGCTGGCCTAAATTATGTCTGATTTAAGACCTTAAGACTTAATTTTAAACAAGTAAACTAATTTTTGGAGTTTCTCAGCATCATTTTGGGAACCAAAAAATTTAAAAAATTTAAAATTTTCCTGCAAAAAGTTTTTGAAAAAAAACTTTTTTATATATTCCTATAAATTTTCCAGTCAGTTTTTCACAAACATTTTTGTCCAATCTGCCTATATTACTATAAATGTCTAATATACCTAAACTATAGGTTTACGTCAGATCCTTTTATCACACCAAGCAGAAAAAAATATACTTATTTGGAAAAAAAAACTTTTTAAACCGTACTTTCTAAAGAGTATTAACGGAACATTCTGTGCTACTTGCACAGTAACCGGCTATCCTCGTTGGAGCATGTATACTCTTTTGGAAGTATGTGTATTTATATCCGTGGCCTGAAAATTTTTTTCATTATGAATATAAAGCTGACTAGTCTGGTTTTTGGGTTGGCTGAGGTGGAGGATGTTGCATCTTCGGAACAGTCGCTCGAAAGTGAGGTCAAACTTCTCGATCTCATACCAGGTGCCACTCAGTTCAGTCATGTTCACATTCCGCACAGCCGGCACCCGTGGACATCTTGAGAAGCGCAATCTGCACGTCACAGTTCCAAGTGTGACGGACAAAACGGCGAAGGCCAATAGGACGAAAAATTTATTCATTTAGATTCGGTTTGTAAAGACCAAAATGATAAGCAAAACAAAACTCTGATCTAAAATGTTTGATAAACAACGCTGTTTATGATGTCACATAATCGTGTGATTCAAGGATACTTGTCTTTTGCCGTTTATTTAGAACCGGATAATAATTATTTGCTAAGTCGATCTGACATTTTCTCGAATATTAGCTGGTAATGTGGTTTTGCATTGAAAATCATCAGGCATATGGAGTAGCGGTGGCATAAGAAAGGCCTATCCTGGTTAAGGCAATTTATCCACGAGGGAAAGAGCTAACAATTGAAATGTTCAGCTCCTCACTGTGTACCACTGTAGTACAGTATTCAAGAACTACACACAGTTTTTAAGCTATTTTTCTGTTCTAAGTAGATGTTGCCTCACCCTTAAACAAGGAGTATGAATCATGGTGGATTTACGGTGGGTTCGACACTTCGGTCATCCAAAAGTCTCGTGTAGTTTAAACTTCCACAAGCAAAAGACTTTTTGAATGTTTTTTTTTTCTACAAAAATTTGCCGGTGACGCAGAAGTTTTTTTTTATAAAAACAGGGTCTTTATGGTTTTTTGTGAGATCAGAAAATTTTTGGAAAGCCCTCTCATTTCGAGAAACCCGAGATCCATTCTAGTGGGGCTGGAATCTCCGAGCTTTCGCTTGAAAAGCGGAGACTTAACACCACGAAAATGTCTTGATTTTCTTCAATGGACCTATCGGCGCCGAAAAAAGATAATGAGATTGAGGTCGTATTGTTTCTCTGCAAATACTGTACTAAGTAGATGTTGCCTCACCCATCAGAAAGGGGTAAAGAAAGGGGATTTAAGGCTAACGATGCTTACTCAGTATTCAAGAACTAGTTAATTCTATCTTTAAATCACAAAAACAAAAATTTGTTGGCTGGCTTACGATTGAAAAAAAAACTCAAAGAAAAAATGATTTCTTTTTTTTTTCGCAGCTCGAATCACAATCAAGGGGCTCGTATATGCTTTCATAACTCTTTGATATAGTTTCCTGTAATTGAGAAAAGAATTTATTAGGAGTTAACAGGATATTTAAGGGACCTTCAAATATATTCATTGGATATTCCTCGCAAAACCATGTCTAATTTGCCAAGATCTTTCAGGTTTCCTACAAGATGTTGCACGAAAACCAAAATTAAAGTTAACATTTATTTTAGAAAAATAGTGTTTTTCAATCAATAATAATTATATATCTCATTTATATCATTCTATAGCGTCATATTTATACATTATTCAAAAAAGCAAAATGAGCAGCTAAAATTCAGTTGGTTTTTTATAGCTCTATGTTGTGAAAAAAAATAAGTTCAAGTTTCTGAAAGCCATTGAATTGAAGCATCAGAAAAAAATTGAGTTAAAGAAAACCTTGCAATTCTGTTTGAGTATCTCTTTGTGTGCTTATTCCTCGACTTCGTACGACGTATTTAAATCAAAAAGATTCCCATTGAACCTATTAGCAAAAGATTAATTGCAGAGAACGCCAAATTATTCTCGAGTTGCTCAATTTGAATTGTTTTATCACATTAAAAAAAAACTAAAAGTTTACGTTTGTTAAGAAGGAAATCGCTCCCCCGTGAATGTGGTTGATGTTTCATTCCGTTATGCCATCCAGCACGTTTATGAAGAATTGATAACCTGTATGAAGGAAATAGAAAAAGAGTTTAGATATCTGAAAAATCTTGTGCATGATATGAATCAGAGAATCAGAATGATATTTAAGTAAAGAATGTTTGATTATCAAGAGTCCTTCTTCGATGCTACCGGGAACACAACTTTTTTTTATGAGATGTTGAAATTTTTTTCGTTGGTTTCGAAAATCAATGACATCTCAGAAACCCAATCGAACGCGTATCATATTCTGCCGGGCTATGAGAGGCCTCCTAAGAAATTTATGCCTAGTGTGATTGCTAAAATTGAAAAGCTCGTGTACAAAACACGAAAAAGAATATCTCGAAAACAAAGTCAAAAAAGAGGTCTGATGATTTACATTAAAGAAAATTTGCCAGCATTAGAAGCAAACTTACGAAACGAGATAGCAACTCTAGGATGAAGTTTAACATCGAATAACTTCGTAGTAACAGTTAAATGCAAGGAGGATGATGAGTAGGCAACAAAATTACCAGTAAAAAGAATGGAGCAATTGCAAAAATACGAAAACCCGATTACAGTTGATAATAGATCAATGGAGAGGCGGAATGTTGCTAACAACAAAAGGCATGCAACGGCATTAAGTGACAAAAAGCCTTCTGTAAGGCAAATTTAATGCGTGATAAAAAAACATGCAATGGAGATTTGAAAAACCAATGCAAGTTCGAAAAGGCGTTACAAAAATTGATTTTTTGAAGAAAAAAAAACATCATTCGGAATCAAGCCTTAACATGTTCAGCTAAGCTAGGTTCTCAGAATCCTCTAAAGAAAAAACATAGTGAAGAAAAACAAACATCTTCATTTTTATTTTCTTAAGCTTATTTTGGAACAACTTTGAATGCAAATGAAAAGAAAATTCAAAAGAAATTCGGTTCTATGATTGAAGAAGTTCGTGTTGCGTTGTTCTGCTTCGCCAACGCTCTTTGCTGCTTCTGTTCACTACATGAAAAACTGGAGTATTAGACTTATTAAATATACATTTTTTCAAAAACCAAATTCTTCAGTCAATTGAATTTTGTTAATATTATTCATCTAAACAAAAACATCATATCGTACTAAAACTTTTTTAAAATTTATCTCAAACTTTTTATCATGAAACTAAGTTAAAATGTTGAAGCAACAGCAGCCGAAAACACTATTAAACAAACATGAGATTTCAGAAAACTTGTTGCAGAACATAAGATCATTGAATCCAAATTTCGATGATATCGTAGGTATGTTGAAGCAAACTCGCAACCATTGGTAAATGCACTTACAGAGGAGTTGCAGAATGATAATGTCGAAACACGTCTGTTTGCGTCTGAAAAAAGTCACCCTACTAGAATGACTAAGAAATCGCGGAAAAAAGGTGGAGTGACGAAACTCGTTTTTAAAGTTTCAGAGATTGAGTTGCTTAGAGAAGGGAAAAACGATAAAATGCAAAGACAAACAATTGAAATCAAGTTTAAAAAAAGCTCTCCCTGATACTTTCAAAACTATACAAACACTCCCTGGTACTTTCAAAACAAATTTTGTCGAATACCTGGCATCACTAAAAAAGCAACAAAATTACAAAAATATTCTGAGATGCGATTGTAATGTTGCCATGACTAAAACCACGATATTGTGTCCTGTCTTTTCGAATATTATTTGATCTAAATTTTGTCAATGATCTTAAAAAAACCCAGATATGGAAACAAATTGGACTTTTTTGTCTTTTTTGTTAATATTCATGCAGAAATGACTGTAAAGGCCCTTAATGACTCGGATCAATACTCAATTCAATTGACTTTTACTACAAATAATGTAAATCAGAGAAACAAAAAACCAATAAGAATGTGGAAAAAACATTTATAACCTTCAAAAACTGATAATTTTTTTAAAGCAAGTTAATGGTTCTGGGCTAAACTCCGAAAGCGCATTTAGAAAATTGTTTGGGTCCGTCAGCCAAAAATGGATACCTAAAAATAGTACAAAGGGGGACCCTTTGGGTCGGCAGGGGGTCGATTCCCTAAGGAGGGGGCGTCTGCCGACCCCATAAATCTGCCCCTTCCTCACGTAAATTTTTCCTGTTTCAAAATTGAAGTTAACATAACTGCATCAGCATAGCTTCAGTAACATTTCAAAAGTATGCATTTCCACATCGTTAATTGGTTAAATCTAATCGTAGTTTGTTTAATTGATGGAGTTCTATGCCTTATTTTTCATTTTATAAAATCACTGAGCAGACTTATAAAGTTTGTTATTGTTTCACTTGAGACCAAGTTTGAGTCAATTCATTAGATCACTTTTTTTCAGAAACATGTTTTCATATATCATTTTTAACTCTTAAACGCACATTATACGAGCGCGTCGAATTTCTGCCTATTAAAAAAATGCATGTTCAACAAGACTGTTTGTATCAGGGCGAAGCCCTGAATGTTCCCACTGCCTTTTAAGGTCACTGGAGCAGCAATAACATGAAAAAATTAGAAGCAATAAAAAAAACTAAATTTAAAAAAACAAAATTTGAGACTTTTTGTGAAAATCATCCCCCCACACGCCATATAAAGTAAAAAGTGATAAATTTAGCTCCTATTAACAAATCAATTACGGCAAATAAGCTTCCTTGAACCAATTGGGAACTATTCCTAAGACGGATTAAATCTCCGCTTACGCTTTAGTAGCACGAAATATACCGTGCGTTAATTGTCATAAATTGGCCAAAATCGCAATTTTTAAACCCCCATAGCTTTACGAAAATGATCACAGGTGAAATATTTTTTCAATTTTAATCTCAGGACAATAATACTTTTTCAATGATATAAAAAAGTTTTGGCAATAATGGCTAGTTAAAAAGTCGAAATTTGTCTGAAGAAAAAAACCCACACCGATCACAAATATTCCGTTACTTTCGTTACGAAAGTCGGAACAATAACTCCGAGTTAGAAAAAAGTCTCGATTTTAATTTGGTTTTGCTTGCGAGCTGCAAAAAGGAAAGAAAAATTGTTTCATTTGAGACTTTTGTATGAGTGTTTTATGTAGATACAGATAAATAAAATCGAAATTTAGCAGGTCGGAGCAATAGCCAATCAGAACATTAACTTTAATACGAGCAACCCTGCAAAGAATTATGGGCTCCTAATTACAAAATCTAAGATATACAGAGTTGCAACGCTTGTAGCGGCTTCATATGCTTTATAAAAAAAGTATGATTAAAAATTGAATGAAATTTAAAATTTTGAAATATAAAAGTGAAATTTTTTCAAAACAATTATCAATACGAATCGACTGATAACTTTTTGTGTTGACAGTTTGTTTTTGTTTTTTCTGCACTGATATGATTTCATGTGCTTTATTCTCAATTCATGTTGACAAAATTTGTGGATCAAAATTTGTTTTCATCTAATATGATACTGGTCAAACCGATTACTAATGTTATTCGAACGCTGTATTATTTTTTACACGTTAACACCCTAGAC